TTGCACTTGAATTATGGAATTTTTCTTTTATTTTGGAGCTACAACCCACACATTCAACCTCAAAAACTTATCTACTTGAATATGGCAAACATAGGCCATCAAAGTACATTCTCCAAGTTCTAGTTAGTGGCCAGTTACGCAAAGATGGATCAATAAGGGAAACAGAATAGCCATAAAGAGCAAAAATGGCATCGAGTTTTAACTTCCTGCCAGTTAAAGAAAGATGGATTAAGAAAGAAAAGAAAGTGAGAAGAGGTGAAAATGGAGAAATAAGATGAGGTGAGCATGAAAGAGGCAGATGCTTCACATAAGAATGCACACACACACATTTACACACATGTGCATTCACACACAAAGTGCATCCACAATGTGCATGCACACACACCCCACAAAGCCATGTGGAGGAAGCAGCACACACACACACAAAATGAGAAACAGAGTGAAAAGGCCAGATACACACAAAAAAAAACAGTGGTGGAAAAGAAACGGGAGACGTTGACAGAGTCTGACACACACCACCCAGCACGCCCGAGCAGCACAGAGCCAGCTGGCTGGTGCTCAATATAGGTGTCCTCCTGTGGATGCCAGCAGTGCAAGCAAAAGGCCCTCCTGGGCTCAGGAGGGGACAGGGGGACTGAAGCAGCACTTACTGGGACAGGGACACAGAGGGAAGAGGATGGTCCCGGGCTGAGACCAGCTCTGCCACCAGCTAAGTGTGTGCCACCACCCGTTCGTCAGTGGAGGCTCGTGTAGCTGCTAATGGAAAAGCTGGAGGTTCAAACCCACCCAGTGGCTCTGCAGGAGAAAGACCTGGCGATCTGCTCCTGTAAAGATTACTGCCAAGAAAACCCTATGGAGCAGTTCTACTTTGTCCTGTGGGGCTGCTACGAGTTGCAATTGACTTGATGGTACCCAACAACGATACTGAACAGGTTTCAGTGGAGCTTCTAGACTAAGATAAGCAAGAAAGAAAGACCTGGTGATCTGTTCCCATAATGAATACAGCCTAGAAAACCCTATTGGGGGCAGTTCTGCTCTGTCACATGAAATTGCTATGAGCTGGAATCGACTTGACGGCACCCAACAACACCAATGATGATGAACAGGCTTCAGCAGAGCCTCCAGACTCTAACAGACAAGACCTGACGATCTAGTTCTGAAAATCAGCCAATGAAGACTCTATGGGGTTGGGGCTGACTTGATAGCAGCTAATAACGATATCTATGTTACAATCCTGACCCCGATCCTCCTCGAACTCCCAAAGCAACCAACTAACAAAACAAAACAAAACCTGAAACATGTCAAGAGGAGTTAAAAATAAATCAGACCCTAAATTCTGCGATAAGAAAAATCTCTAACGTTGTAACTTGTGATGAACCCTTTCTACAGAGGAGAAAGGATAAGAGGCCCAGCGGATGGGCCATGGCACACACCAGAGTTCTTAACCAGGCATCACAGGGAGCGGCGCGGGTACCATAGATCACACACACAACCGCACAAGATGTCATATGTGTCTCATTAGGGCAGCAGCTGCCTCCTCACAGTAGGGCCTGGTCCTGCATTTCTCACACAGCTAAATGCAGCAGAGCAGTACTAGGTCTGATAAATGTCCTAAGATCAGAGAGAAGCTAGGACACCAGGCCACCTGCAGGAATGACAGGGACAGCCCATCTTTATAAAAAGGACTGTAAAAATGACTATGGCTACTGTAATATTGCAAACTGTAATGTAAGAAATCTGACTTTCAAATGTTCAAGAACAAAACAACACAAAGTAACACACATATATGCTTGTAACTCATATTTTAAATAGAAGGAACTTCTATCATTAATCTCCTAAACTGTGATCTAAAAGCTCTGCTTGGTATCAGGTAAATCTCATCAGAAAGCAGGTCCTGGAGGCAGGAGGGGAGGTGAGGCTGGACACAGCCAGTGGCCGTGGGGCCATTCAGCTATCCCGGGTGGAGCCCATCTCACAGTGGTAGAATAAACAGCCTCATGCGTTGCGCCTGCTGCACGTGAGAGACGCACAGCTTTGTGAGCAGTCCCATCTGAGATTCAATCTCATATCTGCCTTCCACTCATGGGTTCACCAATGGGCACCACTTCAATCATTTGGTCTGATCCTCCCTAATGCAGTCCAGCCAAGGAGCAAGTGTTGCTTCAGTGCCCCTCTAACCTTAGGGAGTCAGCGTCTAAGGAACTGGCCCAAGACCCAAGTGAGCTGAAGGGCCCAGACTGCGCCCAGCCCTGGGATCCCAGGGATTGGGCCTAGGCTGATTTTCAGCGGTTTGGCAGACACTGGACTGGATGAAGTGATGAGATGGGATGATGAGATGGGATGACGTGCTGGGATGGTGCGATGGGAGCATGTGATGACATGGGATGATGTGATGGGGTGACGGTGATGTGATGTGATGTGATGTGATTTCAGCCATGATGTGATCTGATGTGATCAACCAATCAGTTCAAAGGGGAGTCTTCTTCAGGGTACAGTGTGTGCCTCCAGAATATAAATGGATGTTCTGGCAGAGCTTGCTCTCTCTTGACCCTACCTGACCTACCTGACCTCTGGATATTGGACTGTTAGCCTGCAGAAATCTCTGGCCTGCTGCATGACCTACAGATTTTGATTCACCAGCCTCTACAATCCTGTGAGCCAACAGAGGTCTCCAGCCTGCCGAATGATGTACGGATTTGGGATTTGCCAGCCCCCACAATTGCGTGAGCCATTTCCTTGAAGTAAATCTCTCTCTATGTATACAACTCACTGGTTTTGCTCCTCTAAAGAACCCAATTAAGACAGCATCTAATACTTTAATTCACATTAAGATTTTAATCCCCTCTGACACCAAACAAACAAGAACCAGAGTTGTCGTAATACCCAGCAAACTGCACAGGACACAGCAGCAAACACAAAGCACCACTGACCACGCAGGAAAACCAGGAGGGAACAAACACAGACCAGAGGAAGCTGGGTACTATGGAACACTGCTCTCCTCTCCTCTGAGTGGAAGCAGCCAGCTACACCTCTCGTACATAACCTGATGTCCCAGATGCAGGAGACTGGGCCTGAGAAGAAGTGGTAGCTGAGGGGAATTTTTCCAGAGAAAACATTTTCATGGAAGAATTAAAAAAAACAGCACATGTACTGGAGAAATGTTTTAAAAAAAGGCAGAAAAACGGCAAATAGAGCCATTCAGCACACCCAAAAAAAAAAAGCCTATTTCTAACAAGATATGCTACCGTCTTAGGCTGTCATCTGAGTTGTGATAAGATTCAACACTGAACATAACCCTCTGCATTTTTCTGCTATTGCTGAAAATAAATAAACTAAAATATTGGTGTTTCCCCCTAAATGCTCCTCACAGCATTCCCAATGAGAATGGAGATGGTTCTTATCTTCACGCACCAAGCCCCAGGTGCACACATGAACGGCGGGCTCGCTATTGGTCTGCAGGAAAGGCTAAGATGTAAGCAGAGAAAGGCGGCGTTTGTGGGACCCAGCGTGTGGCTGGGAGCTCACGCAGGCAATACTCACTAGCGTACTCACCAGAGCCACACATCTGTCCGGTGTACGCACCACAGCCACACGTCTGTCTAGTGTACACACCACAGCCACGTCTCACTAGTGTACACGCCAGAGCCACACATCTGTCTAGTGTACACACCACAGCCACACGTCTCACTGGTGTACACACCACAGCCACAC